TGTATCTTGCTGCTAGTAAGTTACAATCTTGTTTTTCACCTAATATATATTGAAGTTGTGTTTTATTGTTTAACATTTTGAAGTCAAGGCAAAGTACTTCAAATTTGGGATACAATGTGTTTGTAATGTCGTCTTAGTTGGGGCAGCTGGTGAGGAAGTGTTGCTCTGTGAGTACAGTGAGGGCAGATGCGGCTCTCTCTGGGCAGCCAGTGCTGTGGATATCTGCCCGTCTCTAGAGTCAGAGTATGGCTGCTCAGTCTGTACCTCGTCATCTGTCTTCTTCATTTACAGTCTTGCACTGTACTCAGATAGTCTGCAGCTGTGTAATCTCTATTTAGGGCCAAATAACATTCAAGTTTACTTTGTGTTCTTTTCTTTGTGTCTTCAAAAATAAGTCTCTCTATAAATCTATATCTCTTTCTCTCTCGCTTATCTATCTACTCTCTCTCTCTCTCTCTCTCTCTCTCTCTCTCTCGGTCCATCGCAGCTCCGTTCTCCAAGCCGCTGGTCACCTGGGGCCCAGAGTCGGCCCTGAAGCCTGGCGATGCGGTGGCCCTCAGCTGCGTGGCGTACGGAGGTTACCCTGAGGCAGAGGTGCTCTGGCAGGACGGAGCCGGACACAATCTGACTGACAACGTCACCGTCTCACAGGTGGCCAACGAGGAGGGTCTGTTCAGCGTGAAGAGCGTCCTGACGGTGATCCTGGAGCCCAGCAGCACTTACAGCTGCAGACTGAGCCAGCCGCTGCTGGGAGAAGAAGCACAGGCGTCTGTCACCATCAGCGGTGAGAACAAACAGCACTGATGTTCATTCTGAGACTGTGATACTGATGACATACTGCTACCATCTTCCTCACACGATCTATTGTAGGCTTTATAAATCCCCACTGCTGCGATACTTAAAGTGCTCCTCTCTATGAAAAAGAGCAGCGTGAACATTCTGCTAAATATCTTCTTTCGTGTTCCACGCAAAGGCAGCGCTCATTTCTGCGTGCACTTTCCGTCTAAGATCCTCAATGTTTTTACAATCGGAAGTCAATTAAAATCTCCGCCGCGATGGCTTCATGGACTTCCCTCATCTATTTCTCATCGCCGAACCCAAACAGTGAGAAAATAATAAATGGTTCAATTATGGTCCAATAGGCATCGCCGTCATTGTTAAATGAGAAAGTGGATGATTACTTCACAGATTGCTTCTTTGAAAGGGGAATGGTCCTTCTGTGCTTAGATGAAGCCCTAACACTGCATGCTAACACGTGTCTGTTCAGAGGATATTTAATGTATAATGTACAATTCCAGTGAGATTTCACAGTACGTTCTGACGGATGAAGGTCAGGTTGTGCAGCAAGCACCTGTGCTGTGAACCTCAGCCGTCCGTGGATCATGCTTATCCTTTACTTGTTAGTAAACAAGCGTCAGAATCCGTGTGCGAGCCGAGGGATCACGCCGACCTTATTTGATATGAAAATGCATTTGTTTACAGCAGCTGCTGTATGCTCAACAACTTTGGTAATTAATATTGACCTAGCCGAGTTTGCTTGTTTTTCTGCAGCAAACAAGCGCAAAACCAGGATTCGCTTTGAAACAAAACGCGCCGCATTTAGAAGCGGTCAGATTTAGATCAGACAGATGCATTTCCGTAACTATTTATTGCAAAACCTGAAGAGTGTTTAAAGCATCCGCCGTTTGAAATGAAATGGAAAACAGGCCTTTTGGTGACATTAGATGACATCATTAAAATAAAAAGTAAATATGAAATGATTTCTTTATTTAGTGGCTATTGCACGGTAAAACTGTGCTGCCATATGCAGTCATTCGTGGAAAAAAAACATCCGCAGAGTTATTGAATAAAAGAAAAGTCCTTTGTATCTCAACAGGAGCTCAGAACGTCTTTCTAAGTGAGACATTTAGGACTTTCTATAACCGAAGAGAGGAAAATCTGTTTAGTATTCAAAAGAGAGTTTTCTGGAAGAAGACGAGACTCCAGCAAGCCCGTTAAAATGTCACACTTCTCTCCAAATTCCCAATGAAAAATTACAAAGTAATGCAGACGTGCCCCGAAATGAATGAGAGAGGCGGAGAGAGAGAGAGAGGAGTGGAAACAGACGTCTGTGAAGGTTGAGAAAGAGAAAACGAAGTGTCTGGATGCGTTCTGAGGTCAGAGGAACTTCATCTCAATCTCAATTAGCCACAATGTAATTCATCAATTAGCTTCTGCCTGTCACTCACTTCTGCGGCTCGTTTGAGACACGGAGGGTTTGTGGAGATGTTTATTCGATGCAGAAGTAAACATGCTTTTGTATGCTGTGTAAGTAAAAGCATTACTGCCGGTTTCACGCACACATCAAATATTTGTGTAAAAACTGATGATCATGTTATCCCGCGTTATTTGAGAATGCTTTAATGGAAATATATCTGACTGTCTGTGAGGAGTTCACATGGTCAGTGCTCGTATTTAATTAGTCGTCTAGAAGAATGTACATATGCTCATTTTGATATTTACATGTTTTTATATTTGTAATTTTTTTTATTTAATTTTAATTAATTTTTATATATTTTTTATAAAAAAGCAAATATAAACATATGCAAATATTAAAATCTAATGAAAATAATCCCATTTAAATTATTACAGTTACTATGAAAATGTAAAATATTTTATATTATTTGTAATTTAAAAATGTAAATAAATACCAATGTCTTGGTGTAAAACAGAAATAAATAAATAAATAAAAACAAAGTAAAAGACAAAAGTTAAAAAAAAAGGGAAAAAGTAATGTGGCTTTCCACTCAGTCATCAGTCTCAAAAAAGGGCAATTCTGATAGAAATTCCATATTAAGTTATATATTGTAACATTTTTACATATTTTTTTAATCTTCAAGTTGTGTATATATATACATACATGCAGTGGGTACGGAAAGTATTCAGACCCCTTTAAATTTTTCACTCTTTGTTATATTGCAGCCATTTGCTAAAATCATTTAAGTTAATTTTTTTTCCTCATTAATGTACACACAGCACCCCATATTGACAGAAAAACACAGAATTGTTGACATTTTTGCAGATTTATTAAAAAAGAAAAACTGAAATATCACATGGTCCTAAGTATTCAGACCCTTTGCTCAGTATTTAGTAGAAGCACCCTTTTGATCGAATACAGCCATGAGTCTTTTTGGGAAAGAGGCAACAAGTTTATTTATTTAATTTCTTACTAAAATATTATTTGTATTTATATAATATTATTCAAATAATTTATACAAATATTTTACATTTTAATTTAATAAATAGTTGTGTATATATATATATAAAATTTAATATAATAGAACTATGTAACATTTTATTGTTTATTAAAATAATTTTATTGAGATTTCCCATGTATTTTTAGACCCCACTGTATGGATAGACTGTGTAATTAATTTTAACATTAAGCTTTATTGATTGATCACACACCGATTAACTAGAACGATGAAATATTGTCGACCTCTGGTCAATATATACAGCTGCTGACAGCTCAAAGCTTCTCTGTGTTTCCCTCGCATCATTTCCTTCGTTTCTGATCACAGCGGAGACAGTACCGCGGTAAGATCTGAGCTCTGCCGAACTCACCGTTACGTGAGGATGCTTCTCGGTTAATCTGCAGCTGTCAAGTCAAGTCACCTTTATTTATATAGCGCTTTTAACAATACAGATTGTGACAAAGCAACTGAACAGCATTAATTAGCAAAATAGTGTCAATAATGCAAAGTGACAATAGTAAACACTAATTTTTCAGTTAAAGACAGTTCATCATTGAATTCAGTGATGTCAACATCCAGCTCAGTTCAGTTTAACTCATATCTTTGCAATCATGTCAACGATAACGCTGGAAATGAAGTGTCCCCAACTAAGCAAGCCAGAGGCGACAGCGGCAAGGAACCAAAACTCCATCAGTGACAGAATGGAGAAAAAACCTGGGGAGAAACCAGGCTCAGTCGGGGGGCCAGTTCTCCTCTGACCAGACGAACCAGCAGTACAGAAAAATCAATATAAGACGTAATAAAACAGACGATGAATAATATTAACAGCAATTATTATATGATGCAATCAAACTTATAGCAAAATGTGGTAGTTCTGGAAGTTGTTTCAGGGTTGGCATCATCTGAGGTCCTCTGAGGGGTTGCATCATCTCTTCTCAGGTGTTCTGGATCCAGACTGAAGCTTGTGTAAATCCTAGTTACCACGGGATGTTAATCCCAGCAGAAACAGAGAAACAAATACAAACATAATTAGCGTAGCTGCTGTTCCAACCAAGCAAAAATGATTTGTTTAACCCAATTTGTTTAACCTAATGTGCATTTGATTAGATATAACTGCAGTAAAAGATTATGACTCCGTCTCTCATTCCGGGTAAAAGCTGTGAGAGAGATATAGAAAGAGAAGGAGAGAAAAGTGTGAGCAGTTGGGAGGGAGCGGGAGCAGAAACTCGGATGCTTAGAAACGTAGCCATGGTGATTTTGCAGTGAATAATGTAGCAATGGCGATGTTGCCGTGGCGACTGTCTAGCACTGATGAACTGCTGCTGATGTCACGACAGAAATGGTTATGGGATGTTGCAGCGGAAATCCTCGTCTTGTTCCGCGATCCAGTTTAACGTGATGTAGCGCGGTGCGATGAGTTGGATGTGCGCACATTTTGAATGCACTGAATTTTTTATTTTTTTTTTCTATTTCTATTCTTTTTTTCTATTTGTTTTTCCAGAAATTTCTAGTAAATTTACAATTAATTATGAAAGAAATGGCAAGTAACACTTAATGCAAAATGTTGACAATTTTCAGTTCATTATATAATATTATTTATAAATAATGTAATGTATGTAAAATTAAGATATTTGATTATAATAATATTTTCAGATGTTCAGTAATTTTCAATGGATTTTCTTTTAAACAATTTTTACTCAGAAATTGCTAATGATGATGATGATGATGATGATGATGATAATAATAATAATAATAATAATAAT